AAAGCAATGTTCTATGGCTGATCAGACACATGTGAGTCCTCAGAAAGTGATGCTGACTGAGGCACCGTGGGCAGGAACGGCACATGTGTCAATTCCACCAGGATGAGTCACTGTACTTTCCAGCCTGCAGGGGTCTGATGAAATCAACTGTTCTCCCCAAGGGGTAGTACTGAACAGGGGGCTGAGCATCTACCGCCGTTGCTGGCAGGGTGGACAGTCAATGGTGGCAGTAGCTAGATCAGTCTTGATGACAGGGACCCACACTGCTGGGCCCATGCATAGCCTCCCATTCTGCTGCCAGGGCTTCTCCATTTGTGAGCCTATGGTGCAGGCACTCGGGTGCCGAGGAAGCAGCTGGCTGACACCTGCTGGTCAAGTCATCCAGTCAGCTTAGTTGTTTGGGACCTCTTCTGCAACGGATGTTCTCTGGTGGGCATTAAAGCACGATAAAAGATCTTCACGTTTTGAGCTCATGTCCAGAGATCTATGTGCCTCTTCCCCAGTCAGATCATGTTATAATTTGATGCTAGTTATTGTTCTGGAAGGGGTAGGGAAGGCAGTGGGGATGCATCCTTAGAAGGGCAAGCGTGTTTCATCTGAAGTCTCTGCGTAATCTTAGGGGGAGGAGAAGGGTGTGTATCTTCCAACAACGGGGAGTGGATCACTGCTGCCAGTCCAGGGGGATCAAGGGCATGAACCTAGATATCCTCATCTCAAGTTTTAGGGTCCCACATCTTCCCTATCAGGGTCTGACTTGCCTGCTCATCTACTGGCACTAGGAGCCCCAAATGATCAGGCAGCAGACTTGCCTAAGCTGAGAATTCATCCTTCTGTCAAGTACTGCCCTTCACTGTAGGAGATGAGGGGCTGAACATTGGCAAGGAGGTCCTCTGATCTTCTGACTGTGCTTTAAATTGGTGATTAATCTGAGCCTGTCATTTCTTCATGTCCTTCAATGCATCGGTGGTGCTTAGCAATAGCCTCCCAATTCCTCGGTCCTGATAGTTGATATTTCCCCCAAACCTCTCAAATGACAGGGACATTGCACCAGCTGGTGCATCCCTGTCTGCCTATATCTGGACCCCAGGTCCCCACAGGTGAAGGTCTTAGCAATTGAACTGCCACAGCAGGCCAGGGACCAGGACTCTCAACACCACCTACCACCAGTGATGGGGTCCTCATTGCCATTAGGCCAGCTAGTGATCCAACACCAGAATCCCATCCTTTCTAGGGCCTCTCCTGGTACTAACGGTTGTGGTCAGCTCTCCCAGAAGCAGATTGTGCAAGCGAGTTATGGAGAAAAGGCTTTCAGATGAAACCTGTAAGGCACTGAGGGCAGAAGACAGGGCAGAAAAGAACCAGGCATAGACGTGGGTTCAGCCAAAGTCTAGCACCAGCCTGATCCCCTGAGAAACTCTGGAGCCTGGATGGCGCCTGATCCCCTGTGAAACCCTGGAGCCTGGATGGCGCCCCCAGTGTCCCATCTTGAGGCAGAAAGGCTGGTTTTGTACCCTGAATTGTCAGCCATCGGCTGGCTGTAAGTTGCCCTTGAGGGAGGCCATAACCTCTCAGGTATTTCCAGGCGGGATGGCTCCGGTCAGCTGAGGACAGTTCTCAGAAGGGCACAACTGTGAGCTGTTAGCAGCTAACCTCACCGCGGCTGGACACCTGTGGGTGCACCTGCATGATAAGAAGGATCTGGACGAGGTGTCAACAGCCTCTACTATACAACTGTGTGTGTGGTGTTTTTTTAATTAAAAAATTTTTTTGAAGATTTTATTTTTAGAGCAGTTTTAGGTTTACAGAAAAATTGAGCAGAAAGTACAGAGTGTTCCCATATAATCCCTCTCCACCCTCTCCCCACAGTTTTTCCTATTATTAACATCTTGCATTAGTGTGGCACATTTGTTACAATTGGTGGACCAATATTGATGCATTTTTATTAAGTAAAGTCCTTAGTTTACATGATGGTTCTCTCTTTACGTTGTACATTCTAATCATGTATGCACTGTTACATCATACAGAAAAGTTTCACTGGCCTAAATATCTCCTGTGTACCACCTACTCATCCTCCACCCCCCGCCCCGACCCTGAACCCCTGGTAACTACTCATCTTTTTACTATCTCTATAGTTTTGTCTTTTCCAGAATGTCATATGGTTGGAATCATACAGTATGCAGCCTTTTCAGACTGGCTCTTTCACTTAGCAATATGCATTTAAGTTTCCTCCACATCTTTTTGTGGCTTGATAGCTCATTTCTTCTTATTGGTGAATAGTAGCCCATTGTATGGATGTACCATAGTTTGCAACTCATTTGGGTAAATACCAAGGAGTATGATTGCTGGACCATATGGTAAGACTATCTTTAGCTTTGTAAGAAACTGCCAAACTGTCTGTACCATTTTGCATTCCCATCAGCAATGAATGAGAGTTCCTGTTGCTCCACATCCTCACGAGCATTTGGTATTGCCAGTTTACTCTATTAATTTTCACAACATAACTCTGAGTTTTTTTGAGGTGTCAACCAGTCTTCTGGAGAGCTGATTGGTTTTTGTGAACCTAACTAGTGAAAAAGTCACCAAAGCTCACAGTCACATAACAGTCACCCCCCTGTTATCTTTCTGTCTCCTGAAACCAGCCTGCCTTCCCAGCATCAACAGTGTGTGCATGCATGTGTGTGCATGCTCATCTCACTCCTTTGGGTCTGATAATCTTGAATTAGCAGGACAGAGACAGAAGGAAAAAAAGAAAGGCACCTGGACAATCGACGTCCTTATATTTTGGGTGACGCAGGAGTTATAACTCCATCAATTGGCTCATATCTGCAAATTTGTAGATTGTGCCAATGTTGCCCCTTCTGTCCTCAAGCAAAGGGTCTTTTAAAAGTCTCTTTGAGGGATTCTTGGCACATGAAAAAAGGAGTTAAGTACCTCAAGAACAAAATATACTCTATGACTAGATAAGATTGATAGGCTGAATTTTCTAATAGTCCTTGATAATCTGAAGAGTCATCTGTTGCCAATAACCTTGGAATTCTCAAGACACATTTTACTCGTCTGTAGGATCCCAGCTGAAAGAAGGGTCCAATACCAGGGGTCTTCCTTCATTCTGAGTTTTTCAAAATAGAAAGGGAAGCAGATATGATTTGATCAGAGACAGTATTAGGGAATAAAGCCAATTATTTAGGAGATGAAAATCTGATTTTATCTTTTCTTTTTTTTTTTCTTTTAAAGATTTTATTTATTTATTTTTTTTCCCCAAAGCCCCAGTAGACAGTTGTATGTCATAGCTGCACATCCTTCTAGTTGCTGTATGTGGGACGCGGCCTCAGCATGGCCGGAGAAGCGGTGCGTCGGTGCGCGCCCGGGATCCGAACCCGGGCCGCCAGCAGCGGAGCAGGCGCACTTAACCGCTAAGCCACAGGGCCGGCCCCTGATTTTATCTTTTCTTTTTTTTTTTTTTTAAAGATTTTATTTATTTATTTTTCCCCTCAAAGCCCCAGTAGATAGCTGTAGGTCATAGTTGCACATCCTCTAGTTGCTGTATGTGGGACGTGGCCTCAGCATGGCCGGAGAAGCGGTGGGTCCGGTGCACGCCCGGGATCCGAACCCCGGGCCGCCAGCAGCGGAGCGCGCACACCCAACCACGAAGCCACGGGGCCGGCCCTATCTTTTCTCAAAAAAGTTTTTCACAAGCCCATATCAAGTCTCCACAGAAAACAAAACATAAAAGTTTCATCCCTCCCAGAGATTGTGCTGTAGTATTCCCATAGAGGGACAGGCTTATTATGCAAAGAAAATTTAGGGACTATATTCTATGAACTCTCACCAGCCAAGATTTTTCTCAAGCCTCACTTTTTCTGATCTGTACTAAGAAGAAAATAAGTCATTTTTTATTTTCTAAATTTTATAACATACATATTTTATAACATACAAATTTTATAAAAAAATTTTATAACATACATATACACTCTAATTGAGAATCACTGCCTTATTAATGGCGTTGCCATTAATATTTGTTGACCAAGACTGAATATCCAATTTCCTAATTATGTGACCATCTTCCTGTTAATTTGCCATTTCATACTCATTAGCATCCAAGGGTCTAGAAGTCAGAAAAACAAACACACATCAGTTAGCCTTGCCCTGGAGTAGGGAGGGTCTGTGTACGTTTCTTCAATGACTTTTTGTACTTTATAGGTGCTCAATAAGTGTATTTTGAACTAAAACTCCTTCTGGAGGCCTTTTCTAAATAAATTATATGCCTGAATACATACTTCATGTCCCATCAAATTAAATCATGATAGTCTAAACCAAAATCTCAAATATTAAATTCCCAAGACTTTGATTATGGGTAGTGGAAAAAGCATAAAGTAGAAGGCCTTTTGGAAATGACTATCTTTAATTTAAATAGGCAAGGAAAGAAAAGATGATAACAAAAACAGCACATTCAAAGCCCGATAAACACATAATCTATGATGTCATTAAAATACAAAATATAAAAATGCTTCCACACTTGTTTTTCTTTTTGATCCCACACCCAATTCTGCCTACCAGAAAACTGACACACAAAGAAGTCAGAGCTGAAGTCTTGTGGGGAAGCACCTGGAAGAAGGGTTCCTAACCCTTTCTGTGGAAAGCTTGGAGAGGAGGTGAAATCCATGAATCCTGGATAGAGCAAGAAACAAAGTGCCACTATCCGATGTCTTTATTCCCAAGTAGAGATATTCTGGCAATGCTCTTATCCCTACAAACATTTCCTTAAGAGGACAGCTTTCCCAAAGACGGAATCACTTCTCAAGGTGAAACATTTGCCCTTCCTTTTAATTCTGGCCTAATTAGATCTACACAAATGAGTAACAGGAAATCAATTTTATGCCTTTTTCTTCTAGCTCACATAATTAAGGAAGGGCTCAGACTCAGGCGATGCCTTTCTCAGCTTCTAAGCAGCTGGTCTCACCCACTGTTTCCATGCCCCCCTCTCCCATTGGATCCTATCTTTAATCCCTCATGTGCTGGGGACTAGGTCTTCCTTACTACTGGTAGCTCTTTCCATATTTTCAATCCAGGGTACAAATTCCACTCCATTGCCTTTGCTTTAGAGAAATATGTATGAACATTCAACCATCAGAAAGAATGGCACATGCATTCCTCCCTACAGCAGTTGGAGTGGTGCTGGCTCACCCCAGGTTCTCCTGGTCTAAAGTCTCAAGGACCTGCTTTATCCTCCTCCTTCACGTTAGTCTAAGACCTGCCCCAGCTCTGTGCATGACATTCAATAAGGGAATGTTCAAGGGATACCACTTGCTGGATTATACAGTTAACATCTAACTGGCTGCAAGTCTTAAAGTCGGAGGGGTGAGGAGGAGGAATCCCCTTTCATCCTCTTAAAAGCTGTTTCCTTGGCTCACTATAGCTCCCTCCTTCCCTCTCCCCTGTCCTGAAATGCCAACTATTATAGTAACTCTTTTGGGTTAGATTAGCTCAACAAATAACCACTTGCTGGGCACTGGAGGTCCGAGATGAGTAACAAGTGCCCTGAGCTAAACCTCGTCACCCCCTGACTCCACTTGCAGAGTAGTTTGCTAGCCTACTGTGATTATTCAATGAGTTCTTTTATTTGTTTACTCACTAAACATTTACTGAGCACCTATACCAGCCCCAGGCTCTTCTGTAATAATATGAGGCCCAAGGGAAGCTAAAACTAATAAGACAACCTCCATGCCCTAGAGGAATTCATGGTCTAGTGGGAAGAAAAACTTAAACGCATCATAAAATTATAATATAGCATGTTAAATGCTGCAACAGGATACTCCATAAGAGTGTGGGTGTAGAGAGAAGGGAGAGGGACTCAGCTGTCTACCAGAGCCCTCACTCCTTCCCACCTTTATCATCTCTTGGTTTTAAGGCCCAGGGTATCTCCATTAGGATCAGGCCAAATATGTCTTGAAAAACTAAGCAGCCTTCTGTACCTGAACTGGATCACAGTCTAGAAATTCATTCAACAAGCATTTATTAGGTACCTCCTGAGTGCCTTGGACAGGGAGAGGCATTACAGGCAGAGACAGTTTCTAAGTGGCCTGGAACAGATGGGGTAAAGAGCACCACTGAGAACTTAACCCTCAAAGAAGTGTGGGTGCATCTTCCTCCCAGACAAGGAGGGATGGAGAGAGAAGAATGTTGGTCAGGAGAGCTCCAAGTGGAGTGAGGGAAGCTGAACGGGTTAACATCAGAGGGTACATTTGCCTACTCTGCAAAGTAGGAGGCAGGCAGCCTGGTAGAAATAGCTTCTCACATGAATTGGAGGTTCTCGCATGAAAGCTCAAGAAAAGAGCCAGAAGCAAGGGCAATTAAGGGAGGTTTCAAAATGGCAGGTATGACCTCAACTGGTGACACAGCAAGCAAGCATTAGGAAAAAGACCCTAGGCTGGCAGTGGCCTCAGGGAACTAATATATATATTTTTAATTGGAAATCCCTTGTAATAAGCTCAGTGTTAAAAAAAAATCAATAAAAGCAAGCATGTAGAATTAATATGGACTATCTACACTATTTGACACACACAAAAATTAGTATACACCTAGTGCTTGCTTCAAACTGTAGATTCTCTTTGCCTGAAATTAAAAAAAAAAAGAACCAGCACTCTCAAATGTAAGCCAGTTTGAATGGATTTTACATATTGATTTTATACACACATAGAGGGAATTCTATCAAAATATATGAAAGTGTGTGGATCTTAGTCTTGTTTGCCTAGTAATTCAGACACCGTTTCTGCAGTCCCGGCTCATGGGGCCCTGGCATCCTCTCCCCGCTTGCTGTGTTCCCTGAGTGCTTGATTCTGGTCTGTCCAAGTTTCCACAGTTAGCTCCGTTAATGCTGAACTAAGGAATAAACAATGTGCCCATTAAGTGCTCATTTTTTTCACCTGAGCCTAAATTACATGACTTGGTGAGGGAAAGATCAGTTGTTTCAGGGACAGTGATAAGAATCACATTCTTTGTCCAGGTGTTGTCCCAGCTGTGAGCACACCACCAGGTCTCACCTCCCTCCGTCTGTACCAGCACACAGGCCACATCCTCAGCCTGATATTTGAGGCCTACCTCCTCTCTCAATCTCATTTCCTTCCACTCTACCCATGAACCTCTCAAGTGAGGCTCCGAATCATCACTGATCATGCTCCCTTAGAGGCAACTCGGTGATTTTCAAAGGTTCCTGGGTCCTCCTTTCATTACCCATGTGACCGGCACGAGTTGCTGAGTTGCTAGGATGGGCCTGCGGCCCTGATTTCTGGCCTCGTACTCTGGCTCTCTGCCAGGACTGGGGCTTAGCCTTGTATCCCACGCACTGCACTGTGCTGCCCCTACAATGCTTTCTGCTGCCAGAGGCTTCCCCGGGGGACTGATCTTTCCCCCAGTCTCCCTAGGCCTCAGGTCACAGGTGGTCAGGCCACAAATGAAGAGGCTGTCCCAAACCACAGTGCCTGCTTCCCTCCTTGACTCGTTGTGCTGCCATGTCCCACCCACTGGGTTACACTCTACTCTTTCCTGCTCAAGGCCTCTCTGAGTCTGTAACTCCTCTGGGCACAAGGCCCCTTCTGCCCAGCTGTCACCAGAGGCCCTGTCTCCACATCCCTCAGTGGCTCCCATGTCCTTCCTGTCACCTTAGAGGCCCATGTCGCTGGGGTCCCTGTGTGCCTCACCCAGAGTGCACAGAGTTATATCGTGCCCAGCAATCCCAGGGTAGAGGCGCTGTAGGAATGAACTGGGGTGATAATGTCGTATGTGCCAGAGCTTTGTAAAGTGCTAGACAGATATAAGGTCCTGATATTCCTGATTTTAGAGTCTTCAAAACCTCCCTCCCCTGGTGCCTGATGCCCCTGAGTCTGCACTCTGCCCCTGCAGCCTCATCTCGTCTCAGGGAGCAGCCCAAGGGCCCTGCGCCTGCTCCCTCACACAGCGCGCTGAGGCCCCTTTGAATTCCTAGACCCCTCGCTGTTGTCTTCACTCACGGTGACATCTCATCAGACCCTGCTTGGTGATTCAGGCTCAGGCCCCTCTGTTCTGCTGCCAAAAAGTTGTGTGAAATTGACCCTCTGATTGCCTGTCGGTGAACAGAAGGGGCTAGGATGACCCTCTGGGCCTGTCTTTCAGTTCAGTAAGGTTTTTCTTTTTATCTAAACTACATGCTAGGTCCGGTTCTGCTTCTTATCTAGATTTTACATTCCTGTCACAACCTAGGAAGCACAGTGCTAGGACTTGACGAGGACTTAAGAAATGTGTTTCTGAATTGTTAACTAAATAATAACTAAATAAATATCATGTCCTCATAACAAACGTGTGTTTTTTTCTGTGGGGCGGGGCAGGGAAGGGTGATTCAGTTAAAATTGTAGATTAACCTCAATATTGTTAAGACATCAGTTCTTACTAAATTGATCTATAGATTTTACACAATCCTAATCAAAATCTTGGCAAGCTTTTTGGTAGAAACAAGGTGATTCTAAGAAATGTAAAGGATATAGAATAGCTAAAACAACTTTAAAAAGGAAGAAGAAAATTGGAGGACTCAGATGATCTTATTTTCTTTTTATTGGTGTCATAATAGTTTATAACGTGAAATTTCCGTTGTACATTACTATTTGTCAGTCACCATATATATGTGCCCCTTTACCCCTTATGCCTAGCCACCAACCCCCGTCCCCTCTGGTAACCACTAATCTGTTCTCTTTGTTCAAGTATTTGTTTATCTGCCACATATGAGTGAAATCATATGGTGTTTATCTTTCTCTGTCTGTCTTATCTCACTTAACACAATACCCTCAAGTTCCATCCATATTGTTGCAAATGGGACGATTTTGTCTTTTTTTATGACTGAGTAGTATTCCTCCAATGCTGTTATTTTAAGACTTACTATAAGCCACAGTAATCAAGATAGTAAGGCATTGATGTCAAGATAGACAAATAGATCAATAGAACAGAATAGAGCATCCAGAAATAGATGCACTTATTTATATATAAATAGTCAATTGGAGAAATGGTAATGGAATAACTGGACATCAATAAACAAAATATGAACTTTGATCCATACAACACACCATATACCAACCCCCCCCCCCAAACAAAAACTCGCAGTGGATCAGAGACCTAAATGTAAAACTTAAACTATAAAACTTCCAGAAGGGAATATAGGAGAAAATCTTTGTGACTTTTAGACAAAGACTTCTTAGGCACAACACCAAAAGTATGATCCATAAATTTCTAAAAATTAGATTTCATCAAAATTAAAATTTTCTGTTCTTTAAAAGTTACTCTTAAGAGAATGAAAAGATAAGCCACACAATGAAAGAAAATATTTGCAAAGCAGATATCTAATAAAGGACTTATATCTAGGATATATAAAAACATTCTCAAAACTAAATAATAAGAAAACAATGAGTAAAAGATTTGAATGGACACTTCACCAAAGAAGATATATGGATGGCAAAGAAGCACACAAAAAGATGCTCAGCTATTAGTCATTAGGGAAAAGCAAATTAAAACCACAATGACATACTACTACACACCCATTAGAAAGCTTAAAATTAAAAAGACTGACAAAACTAAGCATTGGTGAGGATGCAGAGCAAGTGGAACTCTCATATACTGCTGTGGGAATATAAGATGATATAACCACCTCGGAGAATAGTTTAGTAATTTCTTAGAAAGTTAAACATGCACCTGCCATACGGCCTAATCATTACACGCTTAGGTATTTACCCAAGAGAAATGAAAACATATGTCCACAAGAAGACTTGTACTCATTCATAGCAGCATTATTCAAAATAGCCCAAAGGAGTGGAATAAAACTGAAATATTTTAAACAGGTAAATGGATAAAGAAATTTGGGTATATCTAGACAATGGAATACTACACAGCAATTAAAAGGAATATACTATTGCTACATAAAGTAACATGAATGAATCTCAAAATAATTATGCTGAGTGACAGAAACCAGACCAAAAAAATTACATGCTATATGATTCTCTTTATGGAGTTCTAGAAAATTCAAACTAATCTAAAGTAACAGAAAGATCAGTGATCACCTGGGGAGCAGTAGAGGGAGAGGGAAAGGCAAGAGAGAGGTAATAAAAAGGGTCATGAGGAACCTTTTGGGGGTGACAGATGTGTTCATTATCTTGATTGTGGTGATGCTTACATAGGTATGTACATATGTCAAAACTTATAAAATTGTACACTTTAAATATGTACAGTTTATTATGACAATTATACCTCAATAAAGATATTTTAAAAATAGTAATTTAAGGCCTCTGTCTAGAAACCTTAATAAGCTAAAATGCATATTCCCAGGCATTAACCTTAGCTTTCCTAATTCCATAGTTCTATCATAGGACCCAGAAATTGGCATTTCTAACAAGCCCTTCAAGTAATTATAATGCAGGTTGTCCCTAAACCACCTTTTGTGAACCTTTTGTGAAACACTGCTCTAGGGAAGCTTATTGTGCATTTTCCTACCAAATATCTCTGCTGTTATGAGGATCTTTGAAAAAATAAATGCGAAAGGGTAAAGCTTACTCAAAGATGATTTTTAATTATTGAAAAGAGTACAGGGCCAACCCCGTGGCTTAGCGGTTAAGTGCGCACACTCCGCTGCTGGCGGCCCAGGTTAGCATCCCAGGCGCGCACCGATGCACCGCTTCTCTGGCCATGCTGAGGCCGTGTCCCACATACAGCAACTAGAAGGATGTGCAACTATGACATACAACTATCTATTGGGGCTTTGGGGAAAAATAAATAAATAAACAAACAAATAAATAAATAAATAAATATTATTAAAAAAAAAAAAGAAAATAAAAGAGTACAGCGAGTGACATCTGTGAAAATGGTGCAGAAAAAAATCCCTCCAAAAATTCTCTCCTCCATGAAAGCATGAAAGAAAAACTGGCAAAAATAGTCAGAAACAATATTTTCAGAACACCGGAAATTAAACAAAGGCTTACAGCAATCAGGACAGCATTTATTCAAGAAAAATGGCTGAATATCAGTATGAAAAGTGAGCTTTGTGGTGTTTTAGTTGCCCTATTCCTATCCTCCCCCTCCTTCTTGGTGGTAGCCTTAGAAACCAACAGCCTGTGATCATGGTGAAAAGCAGCAATCTGGAAGCCATAGGAGGGGGCAGAACAGGGTTGGAGTTCCTTCCAGTCTCATTCCCAGAGAATTGTCATTATTTGACTTCTCTGGGGGTTCTTTGGAATATCCCACTTGCGAGGCTGTCTTTATTAGACCTGATTCAGAGCTTGCCCAGTGTGAAAAGCTTTTTTTCCAGGGACATTTGTAGAAAATGACTAGAGGCAATGGTTTAACTTCTTAGCTGCATGAGGCATTGGATAATAAATAGGCCAAAAATAGGCTAATCAAAGTTTAAAAGAAAAAGCTTGGGAATGAGATGCCCATAGTGGCTTTGAAAAGCTCCAAAGTATTCCTGGGAGTCCAGAAGGCTATGCACACATGCCTAGGGCTGTGTGCAGGCTGAGGAAAGATCTGATAAGGCCTTAACGCTCTCACCTCTGGCTGATCTTGAGACTCTGCACCAACAGGAAGTGAAGCCTAAGGTGAAATTGTCACCTGCCTGGCTGAGTGTTGAAGATGTGCCCCAATATCCATACAGAGCCCATTCGCAAAGACTAGAATATTTATTTCTTTCAGGTGTTTAAGGAAATCTCTGCCTAGTCATTAACTAAGCAGAGACTTCAGTGGCCACACATGACAATGAATACAGATTTTACAGAATTAGTTCAGAAAAGTAACTAAACAAACAAACAACAACAAAAACAACAAACACTAACAACAACAAACACTGGATATAGAGGAGAATCTGATTTTCAGAGTTGCCACATTATGTTATTTAAAATGTCCCATTTTCGATGGAAAATTATGAGACATGCAAAAAAAAAAAAAACCAAGAAAGTATGGCCCATATGCATAAAAAAAAGAAAGCAGTCAATAGAAATCGTCCCTGAGGAAGCCAAGATATTGGACTTCCTAGACCAAGACTTTAAATCAGCTATTTAAAAAATGTTCAGAGTTAAAGGATCGTATATAAAGAACTAAAGGAGAGTATGAGAACAAACTCATCAAATACAGAATATAATAAAGAGAGAGAAATTATATTTAAAAGGGCCAAATAGAAATTCTGGGTTGAAAAGTATAATAAATGAAATGAAAAATTCACTAGAGTGGCTCAATAGCATATTAGAGCAGGCAGAAGAAAGAAACCAGAGAACTTAGATATAGGTCAATTGAAACTACCTAGTTTGAAGAAGAGAAAGAAAAAGAATGGAAAAAAAATGAACAGAGCCTTAAAGACCTGTAGGACACCATCAAGCATACCAACATACACATAATGGGAGTCCCAGAAGGTGAAGAGAGAAACAAAGGTGCTGAAAGAATACTTAACGAAATAATGACCAAAGAAATAATGACAAAAGACTTCCTAAATTTTATGAAAAACACTAATCTATACCTTCAAGATGATCTACAAACTCTAACAAATATACATTCAAAGAGTTTCACACCTAGACATATCATAATCAAACTGTCAAAAACAAAGAAAGAATCTGGGAAGCAGTGAGAGAAAAGTAACTTGTCACATGCAAGGAATCTTCAATAAGATTAATAGCTGATTTCTTATCAGAAATTATGGAGGCCACAAAATAGTGGGATGACATATTCAAAGTGCTTAAAGAAAAAGACTGTCAACCAAGAATTCTATATCTATTGCCAATTGATTGTCAACAAGGGTGCTGTCTTAGTCAGTTTGGGCTGCTGTAACAAAGTACCACAGACTGGGTGGCTTATAAATAACAGAAATTTATTCCTCACAGTTCTGGAGGCTGGAAGTCTGAGATCAGGGTGCCAGCATGGTCGAGTTCTGATAAGGGCCCTCTTCTGGGTTCAGATTGCTGACTTCTCATTGTATCCTCACATAGCAGAGAGCAGAAAGAGAAAGCAACCTCTCTTGTGGCACTTATAAAGTCACTAATTCCCTTCATGAGGGCTGCACCCTCATGACCTCATCTATTCCTAATTACTTCCCAAAGGCTTCACTTCCTAATATCAATACAGTGAGCGGTAAAGTTTCAACACATGAATTTTGGGGGAACACAAACATTGTTACGGCACTTGAGTCCTTACCAAGTGCCAAGATCATTCAGTGGGGGAAAGAACAGTCTTTTCAACAAACGGCTCATGGACAACAAGACATCCACATACGAAAGAGTGAATTTAAACACCTAATTCACTCCATATACAAAATTAACTCAAAATAGATCAAAGACCTAAATGTAAGAGTTAAAACTAAATTCTAAGAAGAAAGCATAGGTGTAAATCTTTATAACCTTGGACTAGGAAATGGTTTCTTCGATATGACACCACAGCATAAGCAACCAAAGAAAAAGTAGATAAATTAGACTTCATCTAAATTAAAAACTTTTGTGCTTCAAAAGATATCATCAAGAAAGTGAAAAGACAACCCACAGAATGGGAAAAATATTTACAAATCATATATCTGATAAGAGTCTAGTATCCAGAATATATAAATAATTTTTACAACTCAACCATGAAGAGACAAATAACCTAATGAAAAATGGGCAAAGAAGTTGAATAGACAGCTCTTCAAAGAAAATGTACAAATGACCAATAAGCACATGAAAAGATGCTCAACATCATTAGCATTAGAGAAATGCAAATCAAAACCACAATAAGCTACCACTTCACACCCACTAGGATGGCTATAATAAAAAAAGGATATTAACAAATATTGGTGAGGAAGGGGAGAAAATAGAACCCTCATACATTGCTGGGGGGAATGAGAAATGGTGCTACTACTTTGGAAAACCATTTGTAAATTCCTCAGAAAGTTAACACAGAGTTACCATATGGCTCAGCAATTTATATATATATATATCTCAGAGAATTGGAAATATAGGTTCACACAAAAACTTGTGCACAAGTTTCCATAGCAGTATTATTCACAATATCCAAAAAGTGGAAATAAGCCAAATATCCATCAACTGATGAATGGATAAACAAATATGCTATATCTATACAATGCATTATTATTCAGCCATGAAAAGGAATGAAGTACTCATATATGCTATAACATGGATGAACACTGAAAAAATTATGCTGAGTGATAGAAATTAGACAGCAAGTGCCACATTTTATATGATTCCATTTATATAAAATGTCCAGAATAAGAAAGTCCATAGATGAGCCAGCCCTGACGGCCTAGTGGTTAAAGTTCAGCGTGCTCCACTTCAGTGGCCTGGCTTCAGTTCCCGGGTGCGAAACCATACCACTCGTCTATCAGTAGCCATGCTGTGGTGACGGCTCACATAGAAGTACTAGGAGGACCTACAACTAGAATATACAACTACATACTGGGGCTTTGGGGAGGAAAAACAAAGAAAGAGAGGAAGATTGGCAACAGATGTTAGCTCAGGGCAAATCTTTCCTAAGGGGAAAAAAAAATCCAGAGAGACAGAAAGTAGATTACTGGTTGCCAGGGGCCAGGGGGAGACAGAAGATGGGGAATGATTGCTAATGGGTACAGGGTTTTTTGGAGAGGGTGATGAAAATGTTATGGAATTAGTTAGTGGTAATGATTGTACAACCTTGTGAATAGACTAAAACCCACTGAACTCTACACTTTAAGAGAATAAATTTTATGGTATATTAATTATATCTCAACTGAAACAAAAGCAGTATAGATTCTGAAAGTAGTATTGGCTATTTAAATCTCCAGTAACATTTTCTTGGGTGGCTCTAGGATTTTGGATTGAGAAAGTTGATCTTGGCAATTCGGTATGTGGGAGGAACACAACTAAAAGGGACACACCCACACACAACCACAAAAAATCCCACACAATCTAAAGCAAGCACAGATGCTTCCAAGGCCTATGAAAATGTGGCCACAGTTATTTTCCCGGCAAACCATTTTCTTTAACAATATACCCAATCTGCACACCCACCACAAAGTTGGAAACAGTATAATTCTCCAGACTAAAGTCAGCACGGGTAAACCTACCTTTAGTATTGTTTTGTTGTTCCATCAACAATTTACTTATTTTTGAAAACCAACAATCTCTGATTTCTTTTGAAGCTGCCTACAATTACAAATAAGAAAATACTATGAGTATCAGACCACCTGGATTAATTGCACAGGGCTTTTATTCTCTGGGTGGCCTTTAGAACGACGAGGTAGAAAACAGTTGTCAAGTTGTGGGAACGCACCAGGGAAAGGGTAGAGGACACCTGTGCGGAAGGCCTCAGCTTTACCTGCAGCACGTATTTCTCAAGTCCATTTCGGTTGGCAATTTCAAACTTTCTGTTGCTCCCCCTTCCAAGCTGGCGAATTGAAAGTGTCAGCAACTATCGTAAAGAAAGAAGAGAAATGCTCTATACCATCATTTTCTGATTTTAAACTTGTCCCTGTCTGCCACTCTCATCCTTTCTACCCTTGATAGCTCTCTTCTTCCATCTTCCTTCTAAGTGTTTTGCTGTCCTCTGTTAACAGCCCCAAAAGCAGCGTAAAACACAATCTGGCACAGGGTCATCTGTCTTGTCTATTTCAGAGGACTACACACACCATATCTTTCCATATGCAGAGCTGTAGCCCTCAACCTTTAGGGGAAGAGATCATCTCTCCTTTAACATCTAAGTACTTCACAAATCTTTACACAACAGTAACTAAATTAGTATCCATTAAGAAACATAAATAACAAAAGTTACTATGAATAAATTAACTTTAATCACAAGAGTACAAGTGTGTGTGTGTGTCTCACCTCTAGCTATGAAATATTTCCTACACAGGCGAGAGACAATGCTTGGTGTGGTCAGGGGTTCCCAGACCCCCTGGGTCAGGATGCTGCCTACACTTGTATGCAAAGATGCATGGTTGAGGAGGGCAAGTCAAAGATGAAATCTGGCCCATGCTCCATGCTCTAATCACCAAGTCTTTCACTATTCTGGCTGGAGGAAAGAGAGTACTTTTTCTAATTAGTTTGTCCAGACAGGCTGCCATATGGTCCCTTTTCTCTACCCGGCACAAAGGCACCTCTGTGCCAGCCCTAGTCCTATCTGGTAACTGATTACAAGCCCTGATTCTGGAGTCAGACAGGCCTGGGTATGGATTCTAGCTCTGCTGTGTGGCATTTGGCAAGTTAACCCACCTCTCTAAGCTTCAGTTTCCTTCTCTGTAAAATAAGGATGACAATATCTCTCTCCACAGGGGTGTGCTGACTCTCATGTGCAATAGGACCCCTTTACCTTCATAGACTTTTTAAAGCTGTAATGAGGAGACAGGCCCTGGTCACTGGGCTCCATTCGTATCTTACAGAACACTATTCCCCTTTCAAATAGATAGATTTGCCTCCGGCTGGGCTTAAATCGAATAAAATCCTTCATCTTATAACCATCCTTGTGAGCTGTCCAGACGTTGAAGGAGTCATTCATCAACAACTTGCCCAGTTTTCCAATGTCATCCTTTTGGAAACACAGACACACAAAAACAAGCTGTTAAATTACTTGACAAGGAAAGAACTCTGAGGGGTCTGTTCTCAAATGATAAAGCATGCTTATTTGAATTTTTCCATCTTAAAAGTGCCACTCACTTTTAAGTGCTAATCTGTCACTAAATCAAAATTATAATTTTGTGAGCTTCACTGAGCCCGGCACCATTTGGTTCTGTGAGGAAAGAGTTCAGTTGTGTAAGGTAATAAACATAAAGCATGTTGGAAATGCCTGAACTAAAGATATTGGTACTCTGATATTTTTGTCTTGTAATTAATGTTAGCTAGCAGAATTCCATTTCCTCTTCTCTGTTTTTGATCCATGACAGTCTACTTAAAAAGGGCAAGAAATCAACATTTTAATTATGTTCAGGAGAGAGAGAATCTTTGTTGCATTATGGACCTATGATAATCCACGTGTTCCGTCCGCATCCCGACATCTGCTTCAGGTAGATGAGAACACGAGATTTGTTCTGAAAGGAGAAAGACTAGTACAACCTAATCTTCATGGCATTGTAATGGAAATGGTTATTACCTTCAACTCTGCCGTTTTCCGAGTGAGTGGACAGTGCAAAGATAATCCCAAATGACAAAATTTTTTAAAAGTCTGTCTGGCTCCAGGGCACATCCTATGATGCCTCTCCCTCCACCAGCCAGCCCACTTTTCTCATCTGTTTGGTTGTCTAGGAATATTGTATTTTATCTGGTATCTTTCAAAAATTAGAACACTTAAAGCAGATAATCAAGAATTTACTTCCCTGAATCAAATTACCAAAAGGAGAAAATTATTTGAACAGGACCAGGACAGAGAAATTTCCCTAAGTTATATCTAGCTGAGATAAATCCCTATGATTTCTTCAAGTTAATACTAGAAATATGTACATTATTTATCATTGATTGGGCATTGTTATAATTTATTGTTTATGTTGAGCAAAACACGAATATCTTTTTGAAAATAATTGACCGTACTTCTGAAATTCTAAAATAAAAACTTTGAGAGCAATAAACTAGTCATTTCTTTTTTTTTTTTTTTTTTTTTTATTCTTTCCCCCAAAGCCCCAGTAGATAATTGTAGGTCATAGCTGCACATCTTTCTAGTTGCTGTATGTGGGGCGCGGCCTCAGCATGGTCGGAGAAGCTGTGCATTGGTGCGCGCCCGGGATGTGAACCCAGGCCGCCAGCAGCGGAGCGCACGCACTTAACCGCTAAGCCACGGGGCCGGCCCAAAACTAGTCATTTCTATGGCGCTCGTGGCATATTTTCTGTGCTATTTTTCTCTTTTTGCTTTGTAAAATTTACATATGTAAACTGTAGTAAGTGAAACCCATATTGAGGAATAAAGACCCCCAGTCATAAGGCCTTCTCTCCTCACAGCATGACGTTCCTGGTCTAGGTTACACAGGCTCAGCTTGACCAGGCTCCAAGACAGATGGGTGAAGGGTCCATTAGGACCCTTGAGAAGTTTTTCACTTTATCCACATCTTTCCAGGAGCTACTCAAATGTAACCACTCCAGCCCCCAGTGATTGCTTTCTCCCTTAAACCCATTCAATTTGTGCTATATAGACACAAATAGTCCAGGAAACATGTTTTAGTCAAGGCAACAGGCAAAAATAGGTGCTTAATTTTGCCACATGAACAATTGTAATTGGTAGTTTCTATTTTGAAATGTATTTATACTCCACCTCATTTCAAAAATTTGATACATCTTATAAAACCATATACATTATAGGCAGACAGAAAACAACTGAGGAAATTAGGGTGAAGAAAAAAATAGAGATTAAAAAAAAGTCAGATGAAGAGGTTGTACACGAAATCCATACAATAAAGCCATGTAAACATGCTACAGGCTTCTAGGAAGCAGTACAGAGGGAAGCATGGTGAGATATATGACTCATTTGTCCAAAGACCTACCCAAACCAGTTGCTCAGGAAAAGCAAAGCAATTCCTGTTAATAAGATGTGAGAGAAATTTCTCCCATGGCTCCTCATAAAGGGTCCCTGAGTCAAAACCTGAGCACATCCTCGAGCACATCCCACAATAGATAGATGACTGGATTTCAGCCAAAGCTGTTTCTAAGAACACGTTTGGAGAATGTGGAGGCATCACTTCACAGGCACAGCTGTAAAAGCAATTCTAAAAGAGGTCAGAACAATGGGGGAGTAGGGAACAAGTCCAGGTGTACACTCTCTGACGACCTGCAGAGGGCTGGGTGATGTTAGCCAAGGTGTCCGCCAAGGCCACAGGCTGCAGAGGAAACAGTCCTGTCCATGGCCCTGCTGAAGAGGCAACCTTGGGCAGCAATTAAGAAGGTGAATCACCAGAAACTATGAGGAAGAGGAAAAGACAACGATGGAGGGAAAGAACCACTCTGTGGGTGGTGTGAGGAGGGGACAGCAGGTATGTAGACGTACTGGCACATATAGGCAGAGTACATAGGTTAGAGCCCCACCTCCCTCCCAGACCAAGGCCCCAGAGCTGCTACAGATCCTGGAATTTTCCAGTTCCCACCTCTGTGAGCACAGCTCTGTCACTGTCCTACTTTCCCAAGGCTCTCTGGTCAGCTTTTCCAGTAAGCCTGTCATCACTGGAGGTCACTGGAGGCAACTGCTGAGTCTTCTGAATCCAGATGAAACAGATGAGCTGCATATCCTCCAGGTCATCTTGCATGATCTTTCTCAAGACCACACTCGCAATGGGATTCAACATCTCCATGCTCAAAGCCAATCCTCTAGTGGCACATGCCCTGTACAGTGCTAATGAAGGGCAGGAGCATGTACGTTACCATCAGCCAGGACACGTGCCTGTGTGGATGCTACTCCACCTCCCAGTGCAAGCAGGCAGGGGAATTCTTCAGAGTAGGACCCGGGATGACCTGTGGCCGTCTTTTCAACCATAAGTATCCTTTCTTTCCAATTAGACTCTAGTTGGTCTCAAGGCCAGAGACCACATACACAACCTCTTGCAGATACTTGTCCCCTAGAAAGTATTTATTGGCATTTAGTGAGTGCTGGGAGCGGGGGGACGTGAAGCTAAATGCTCAGCACTGTGAGGGAGCTAATGCAGTGATGCCCCTGTACTGGGTTGAATAGCATCTCCCCAAATACTCATGTCCACCTGGAACCTCAGAATGTGACCTTATTTGGAAATAGGGTCTTTGCAGATGTAATTCATTAAAATGAGGTTACACTGGATTAGAGTGGGCCCTAATCCAATGACTGGTGTCCTTATAAGAAGAGAAAACAGAGCCACACACATAGAGAAGACAGTTATGTGAAGATAAAGGCAGAAATTGGAGAGATGCAGCTGTAAGCTAAGCATTGCCAGCAACTACTGGAAGCCAGGAGAGAGGTAGGGAAGAATTCTTTCCTAGAACCTTCAGAGGGAGCATGGGCCTGCTCAAGCTCTGAAAACAGCTTGATTTTGAACTTCTAGCCTCCAGAACTGCGAAAGAATAAATTTCTGTGGTTTTAAGCCATCCAGTCTGTGGTACTTTGCTATGGTAGCTCCAGGAAATGAATAAACCCCCAACCAGTTTTTCCACCAGTGACATTAATAGTGTGGCCCTCACTCTGGTGTGTTGAAAAATCTGACGGATGTGAGCTCAGAGACAGAACAGGGGCTACCCAAACAAATAAGCAAGTGGAAAGTCAGATGGCCTCCTCCATACGGGAAATGACGGCACAAATAAACCAGTAAATGCTACCAGTTTCATGTGTGGACATTTTGTAGGTAAGAGGTCTGATACGAGAATTTCAAATGTGACCACATCGGCCAAATGAAGAATCTGGCTGAGAGAGAATCTAGTGGAGCCAGCCTCCAGAAAGAGACCCCTTTTTGGTGCTCAGGTTTTCTTTCCTGACAGGGACAGCGAACGTGACAGAGCTGTATACTTCTTGCACAAAGAAGCAGGAAACATTTGGATAAAGGAATTAGCGCAAAACCTTGTCCAGAAATGAAAAGCAGAAGCTGTGGGACAGAGGAGCCCATGACTACAGTCGCCAGAAGCAAAGGGGTTCCTTCCTTTCCAGCCTGATCAAGAACCCAAATAAGTCACTCCTCAGGCCCTTTATTCAGCATCTACCAGGTGCCAGGCACTGTGCAAGGTGCCTTAATTATGATTTAATCCTCGTTTATTCCTCACAACCACCCTTTGACATAGGTGTTGTGAGCGTGGGGAGATGTACAAGGCAATTCCATTGAGTCATTAAGATTATTTACTCAGCCTTACCTCTGCAGCCAACACTATGGTAAGGAAAGTGGGAGCTAAAGTAGAAATAAAACACCTGGCCCTAGCCCACAATAAAAATACCTCTTTTATTTAATTACGCAAATTTGTTCCAGGAAATATAAATGTTTCATTCAAACTTTACTATTCAACTTTGGAACTTGTTCCTAGCAAGTCAAGATTTAAAAGAACTCTAAATGCATCTCTATTTTATCTATCTTTATTTTAGAGGGGAAACCTTTCTTGTGTGTGTGCACATAGAGGGACGACAATTACATCTCAGTGTTCCACAAAACAAACTTTCTTTTAAAAATAATTTTTTAAGCTTCTGTGATGAAATTAAACCAAGAATTGAGTGTATGCAACAAGGAGAAAAATGTAAATATCAGAAGGGAATTTTTTCTAATTGTTTTAATTATGAATTCATCCACTCAAGTTCAATTTCTTTTCTTTACAAAACCAAGTTAATATTGGATGTCAAGTAGAGAAACTAAGAGGTTAAGTTCTGGATTCATCCATCCATCCAGCATATGATTGTAAACACCCTGTGATAAAGTTCTACAACAAAGCTGAGGCAAAGAATCTCAGAATCATTAGATCTGAGTTAGTAGTAGTGGAGTTGTTAGTAAACTCTAAAGAGAATCAGATGAAAAATGTGTTGAGAGGACGGCACTTGGATAGGGAGTTAGGAGATCAAGAAATAGTCAAGCTGACGTCCATGTGATCTTGGGCCAGTTAACTCTTCCT